CTGGCTAAACTCTGTCTAGAGCGGATGGGTGGGAGGCAAAGCCGCTGGAGGGGTGATGGGATCACCCCTTCCCCTGGCGCTTCCCACAAGCAAATGGTTTGCTCCAGGTTTGGGGGTGGGGATTGTGCTAATTACTCTTGTATTCTTGTACATTTTGTTCTATCTGCTGCTCTTGAATATTGTATCAATGCCAGAAACGGGGAGATAAAAATTAAAAACAGAAAAAAAAATTAACCCCCAATAAATTGTTACATTCCAAACCCTACAGTCTTTGCTTCCTTTGTAGGGCTGTGGCCTGCTCTGGGTGTAAAGAAGTGGCCTGTGGAGCTGGTAGCTGAGATGCTGAAACGTTTAATACCTTCTTGAGTGGTTTCACATCTAGTTGGAGACTGGTCACTGGTGGTGTCCCTCAGGGCTTGGTGTTAGGGCCAGTGAAGATCATTAATCTTCATTAGTGATCTGGATGAGGGGTTTGGTGTCATCTGCAAGTTTACTGAGGGTGCACTCAAGTAAGGTGGGAGTGTCGATCTGCTGAAGGGTAGGAAGGCTCTGCAGAGGGATCTGGACAGCTGGGTTGACAGGCCAAGGCCATCTGTGTATGAGGTTCAATAGGCCAAAAGGCATGCCCTGCACTTGAATCACAGCCACCCCATGCAGTGCTCCAGGCTTAGGGAAGAGTGGCTGGAAAATGGCTCATGGAAAAGGACCTGGAGGTGCTGACTGATGGAGCTGAACATGAGCAGCCAAGAAGGGCAACAGCATCCTGGCCTGTATCAGCAGTAGTGTGGCAGCAGGGCCAGGGCAGTGATCAGCCCCCTGTGCTGGGCACTGGTGAGGCTGCACCTCAAACTCTGTGTTCAGTTCTGGGCCCCTCACTACCCGAGAGACACTGATGTGTTGGAGCAGGTCTAGAGAAGGGCAATGGAGTTGTGAAGAGTCTGGAGCACAGGCGTGATGGGGGATGGCTGAGGGACCTGGGGGTGTTTAGTCTGGAGAAGACTCAGGGGGACCTTATTGCTCTATACAACTGCCTGAAAGGAGGATGGAGAGAGGTGGGGTCGGTCTCTTCTCCCAAGTAACAAGCGGTGGGACAAGAGATAACAGCCTCGAGCTGCACGAGCACAGATTTAGACTGGATATTAGGAAAAATTCCTTTCCCAAAGGGTGCTCAGGCATTGGAACAGGCTGCTGAGGGCAGTGATGGGATCGCCAGCCCTGAAAGTGTTCCAAGAACTGTATAGATGAGGCCCTCAGTGACATGGTTTTGTGGTGGCCTTGCCAGTGCTGGGGAATGGTTGGACTTGATGAGCTTAAAGGTCTTTTCCAACCTGGTTGATTTTGCGATTCTCGAGCACAGTGGGTCTGTTCTGATTTGGGATTTCAGACCTTACTGCGCACAGAGAAGGTCTGACAAAGCATGAGGGAGATCCATGTGATGCTGAGGGAAGAAGGAGCTCTTTGGGAAGGCCGAACTGTAGCAAGCAGAACCTGAACATGCTCCTCCAAAGTGCTTTCCCATGTGTCTCCTGCATCCTTTTCTTGTAAAAATGAAATTGGATCTGAGCACAACCTAGCACTTGGTGGCTGAAAAATGCTTTAGGCTATTCCCAACTCCAAAACATGTGCCTAAGTGCACTTTATGGTGTACTAACCTAAGAAATATTCATGTGTGTAGTTAAAGCCCCAGGTTTGCTCTGTTAGTCTCCAGTCTGTAGAAACTCCATAGAAAGGTTACAGCAAGGTTTGTGGTGGGGAAGGGCTGTTGGTGTGAGATCTGATAGGGAAAGCAGAAGGGTTTGGGCTGAAGAGGTGCTCCTTGGGTGGGGAGTCAGTACTCTGGGAGCTGGGACAGGGTAGTGTCTGGGCACAGCTGTGGGGTCTCAGCATTGAGCTGGCTCTGACCAGACCACCCTCAGGCCTGCCCTTCTGCATTGTGATCCGGGTCTCACATGAAGGAGTAGAGATTGGGCTGAAGTGGGAACTGCTGTTGGAGAGTTTCTGTCAGCTCCTGCACCCTGGTTTTGCTCAGTGGCAAGTGGGATTTTGGCTGGATCCAAGTACAGCAAATGAAGCCTCAAAATGTTCCTGGAGCTAGAGGCGGATACCAGCTATGACTGGACACATCCAACAAAGGTGCTGCACAAGCATGCTGCTGGAGGCAGTGCCAAGTGGTGGAAGCTGCGTCTGTAGGGCTGAGAGACCTGGAAAGAAAGCAGCCTGCATTTCTGTGCTATGTGGAATCTGCAGAGCCCCAAATGAAATGGACTGGAGTCTCCTGTTTAAGGAGAAGGTAGATTTGAGTCCATGGGGTGGCAGCTGCAGTGGAGCCCTTTTCCCTCTTTAGTGTGGCCCTGGGTGCGCCCCAGAGCTGGGCAATAGCCCTGGGAGGTAAACCCCCACCCCAGAGGCTCCAGGTTACCCTCCCCTGGGAAAGTCTCTCTGCTTTCCTCAGCCCCACTACACTGCTGGCCTGAGCAGCAGGAGCGGACCAGGGTTTCCCCCTGGCCAGCAAGGGGCTGCCCTGTTCCCACAAGGAAGGTTGGATGGGAGGCAGCATGTCCACCTGGCTCAGAGGAGGGCTGTCCTTCCCCTCATGCCAGCAGCCATCCCAAATGTCCTTCTTGCCCAGGGGCTGCAGCAGGATAGCCCCTTGGCCTGCCTTGCCCTGGCTGCAGCCCTGCCTTGGAGGTAGCTGCCAGCCCAAGATGCCATTTGGCTGTTAATTAATTGGAAGAAAATTCCTTACTTGCTCCCTCCTCATCTCTCTGGGATGAACCTGTGAGCTCTTGTTAAAACCAGCTTCTGGTGCCAAATCATGATCAAACCCAGGCTCCCCACATTCCCCCTATCAGCTCCCCTCATCCCATTGCATACAGGAGGGCAGAGTTTCAGCATCACCGGCTGTCCACTGAGCATCTTTGGACGGTTATTTGCAGGACAGGGAGGCAGCTCTGGCTGCTGACCAGTCTGAGTCATCTCCACCTGTGAAACCTATTTTTGCCACCTCTTTGTCTCCAGGAAGAAGTTGTGGTCCCTGCTGAGGGAGAAGGAGATGTTGGGATCCTGTGAATTGTGAGCCCCAGCCTGCTGCAGCACTCAACTCTTCCACCTCAGCATGGGCAAGTGGGCTGGAGCTGGTGTGGAGGGGTAACCTATCCCACTCACTACCACAGCAGCGTCAACCGGAGGGATAGACCTGTCCACCATGACCCTGCAGCCTCCTTTGGCAGGAGAATCCGGATGGCTGAGCCAGTGCAAAGCTGCCAGCTTCCGCCAGCCGGGGGCCTTAAAAGCCTTGTAGAGCTGTATGGCATTTTTTGGCAGAGTTGCAGGTAAAGGACATCCCTCTCTCCCTGACCTGCATGCTGTGGGGTCAGGTAGGCTGCTCCAGCGCCCACATGGGCTCATTTTGAACCTGCTTCTGCCTGACTGCTGACAGGAACAGGCACACTGCAGGCAGGGGTGACACAGGGGGTGCAGTCCCCCAGCACCAGGAAGGGGCATGAAGGGAGAACACCGGCCTCTGACCTATTGAAGATCACTGAGCCCAACTTTTACCCCAGGACTGTCAAGTCCACCACTGAACTGCATCACTGCATATACTGTTTCTGAATCAGCACCATCAGTGAACTCATCCCAGTGCACCAAGCACTCACATACCTGGAGCACTTGCTGCCAGGGACAGATGCCCATCGCTGGGCTTTCTCCATGTCCACCAGCTTGCCCAACTCCACTTCCCCTCCTCAAGATTTCCCTTCTTCCTTCAACCTGTTATTTTCGCCTTCCCTCCTCCAGCCCATATGACTTCCATCCTCTCCTCCTCCCCACAGCCTCCCAGCACCTTGATCTGGCCAGGCCTCTTGCTGGCTCCAGGTTGAGGATTTTGGGAGGCTGGGGTGCAAAGCACTTGCACAGAGAGAGGGTGACTGTGCCCCACTGGCAGCATCCCTCTGTCTGCTCACATGAAGCCAAATCTGAGGACCTTTTGTAGCTGTAGCTCCCTTGCTATCCATTCAAACATGCCTGTGGGGACAAGATGGAATCCTCATCAGTGTTTCAGAGCCAGCTCTAGAGCTGTTTTAAACACACATGCTGCTGCTTCCCTGCTGGCTAGGAAGGACTTCCTGCCATTACTGAGCAGTTTAAAATCGATTTTGTTTGCTTTTCCTCCACTGCTCCTCTTTGTATGGCAGAGGCCCTGGCATGCCCAGGGGATGGAAGAGGAGACGACACGGCTTGTGTTGGATGCGTGAGCACGCTGTCAGAGCAAGGAGAAAGTGGGTGTGTGAACTGTCTTCTTCATGAGTGGTTTAGGATAGTGATGGTAGGGGAAGATGAAGTGTAGGTGGCTATTTCCTGAATGGATGGCAGGGTGCGCGGGGCAGCGGGTGAGGCATCCCGCTGTTTCTCCATGCAACAGCTGTCTCGCTGACCTCCTGGAGGAGGCATTCCCAAGAGCTGGAAGGTTGCTGGCTTAATCTGTGGGAGAAACACAAGGAAGAAAAGGCCTGACAGCAGCCTGAAAGAACCTCCTGGGGGATGCCTAACTGCGAGGTGTTGACCCTCAGGGTGACAAAGGGCCCTTTACTTCCAGCCCAAGCATATCGCGGGGGAAAACCCTCCCTTGGTCTGTCCTGGAGGTGCATCCCCTCCCTGGATGCTCCCACCGGGCTGATTTCAGCGAGACCCAGCCTCGACTGTCCCCGTCCCCGGGTGCCCCCTGCGTGCTCCCCATCCGCACCCGCTCCTCCTGGCCGCCCCTAGCCGGCTCCTCTCCCGCTGGCCGTGCCTCTCGCACCTGCAGCCCGGGGAGGGATGCTCGGGATAAGGGGTCCCTGAATCGGGGCAGGACCGCCAGGGCCCGCCCGGCCGAGAGGGACCGGGGGGGAGGCGGGGCGGGGCGGGGCGGGCTGTGCCGCCCGGCAGATATAAGAGCAGCGCGGCGGGGCCCGGGCGCTGGTGGTGTTGTTTCCGGTACCGTTCCTCCCCGCCGGCTCCCTCGGTCCGTCCGCCCGGCCCCCCGTCCCTCGCTCCATCCCTGCGTCCATCCCTCCCCGCCCGCTCCGTTTTCTCGCTGTCCGCGGGCTCGGGCCCCCCACGCCGCTGCCACCCTGAAGTTTCTGGCGGTGCTGCTGGCGGCGGGCATGCTGGCTTTCCTGGGGGCCATCATCTGCATCATCGCCAGCGTCCACCCGGCCGGCACCGCCGCTCCCGCAGCCGCCGCCGCCGACAATGACTCGGCCGCCGCCGCTCTCCTGCCCGCTGCCGACAAGGGGCTGGGAGCGCTGCACGGCCCCGCCGAGGCTCTGGCCAGCGCCGGGCCGCGCCTACCCGGGGGGCCGCCGCCGCCGCCGCTCTTCAGCCGCTTCGTCTGCACGCCGCTGAGCGCCGAGTGCCCGGCCACGGGCCCCGGCCCCGGCCCCGGCCCCGAGGAGCTGCTGGCGCTGCGGAGCGCGGCGGCCCAGCTGCGCCGCACGGCGCTGGAGCAGAAGGAGCGGATCCGCATGGACCAGGAGACCATCCGGGAGCTCACCGGGAAGCTCAGCCGCTGCGAGGGCGGCCTGCGAGCCCCCCCCGCCGGAGCCGCCGCCGTTCCCCCCGCCGCCGGGCTCCGCGCCGCCCCGCGCCCTGGCACCATGGGCCACCCCCCCGCTGAGCCGCCCGCCGTACGGGAGCTGGAGGAGGCCGTCCGAGCCCTCCAGGACCGCATCGACCGGATAGAGGTGCGAGGGGTGGGCTCGGGGGGAAGATGCTCCCGTGGGTCGGGAGTGGGGGGATGCTCCCACCCAGGCTGTTCCCCGCGCCTGCAGCCACTCGCCTCCCAAACCAGCTTGTCCCCCCCCCGAGGCTTCAGGAAGGCTGTCCTTGCTCCACTCATACCCAAGGTCTCAGCCTCACGCTCTACCCTCCATGCAGGGTGGTCCTAGGGCTGCCCCACTTCCCCCTAGTCTGCACCCACGTAGGGCACCTCTCTGGCCCTGTAGCACCTGCCGAGGCCTCCACTGGAGCAGGTTGTTAGCTTGGGAACAGATCTTGCTCTGTAGCAGAAAGGTAAATCCCATCTGATGCCATAGCAGTTATGAATGAGACTTCTCCCAAAGTAAAGGGCGATGCCATGCACTGTGAGCCTGGCTCCCTGTCCTCGCGTGGCTCATAGGAGCTGCAGAGAGAAGGGGGCACCTGGGATGCACTCCTGGTCCCTATTCTGTAGCAGTATGTGTCCAGCAGGCTCATCCGTGACTCCGCAGCATCAAAGGTGATGGGGCCCATCACAGCGTGTCAGCTTCTTTGGGCTGATGTGTGCTCAGCAGCCACATGGACCTTGGCAGACTGTGCAGGATATGGCAACAGGTTGTCAACCTCCTTGTCTGCCCATTTGTCTCCCTGTTGCCCTCTCCGCACTTCCCTGGAGCACAGAGCTGGGAGGGGGGGGGGGGTCAGGCAGCACCCCATGGGGTCCCTCTTTGTCTCTCTGCTCCCCTTCACAGGGCACAGTAGCAGTGGGGCATGGGTGGAAAATTCAGACCCAGTGAGGTTACAGACCGAGAAGTGAGACTGGGAGAGAAGGTGTTGCAATGGATGGGGTATGAATGGGGATAGAAAGACAGCGAAAGGCAAGTAAACACATGCACACGGGACAGAAAAGAGCTGGAGACTGAAGGAAGCACCTGTGGGTAATGCTCACACATGCATGAAGACAAACACAGAGGCATGCCAGGCAGGTGTGGGGAGGTGGGGACATGCAGCTTGGCTTATCATCATGCCAAGTAGCCAAGGGGAGAGACAGAACCACCCAAAAGAACCCTGCAGCCCCAAACAAACAGATTCATTCCCACAAGCAGGATAACAGACTGAGGTTACGAAATGCACGTGCAGGGCAGGCATGCTAATTCAGAAAGGAAAGGGGGGAAAACAAGCCCCTGCACACATACACCAGCTGCCCTGGCCCCTCTCCTGGGGTTTCTGGTGATGGCAGGAGGTTTGGGGTGATGGAGGGCAAAGCTCACAAGGGCTGGAGCAGAATCTCTCACACCCCCAGGGAGCATGAAGCGGTGCTGGGTCAAGGCTCCCACGCCCTCCCTGGACACGAGGATCCCCAGGGTGCTCTGCAGGGATATGCAGTGCCCTGTGGCTCGGCCAGGCCTGCCAGCTCAGGAACTAGGGCAGCGTGTCACAGGTGGGATGGACTTTGCCCCGGCTCCATCCTGCTGTGACACTGGAGCTGCTCAGGCTGGCCCGGTGACAGCTGAGCCTTGGGGTGCAGGGATGGTTGCCTGTGGCCTCCCACTCTGGCTTGCCTTTGTCCCTCCCCACGTATGAGCAGACACCTAAAACTTGGTAGTGGGGTACCTGCACCTCTCCATCGCGCATGGCTCCATCTGTCAGCCCCAGGAGCCTTCCTGAGGTATTCTGTGGCATGTGGGGTACCCCAAGCAGCTCCCCTAAAGGGCAATGGTGATCACCCCGTAAGGTGACCTGGATGGGGATGGTCTCAGGGTGGCTGCCAGTATGCTGGAGGCTCTGTGGGACCCAGCGCGAGGGAAGAAGAGTAAACGCTGTCAAAGCCTGGGGTGGCTTAGTCTCAGGAGAGGCGTGACACAAAATGCCACGGAACCCCCGGGAATGCCGCATCCTTGGGCATCTTGCGGTGGGTTTGCCAGCAGGGATTACCCCTGGCGGCTCTGGAGCTGGGGTAGCAGGGAGTGGCCTGGATCCGGATTAGATACGGATTAGATCACTGGTCTAATCCAGGCACTCGCGGTCGTGGCCGTAAGGCATAACAAGATTTATTGATGTGCTGAAAAACCTATTAAGTCATTTGACTCTTAATTTTGGCGGCACAGCGGCAGGGCTTCCAGGACAGACGCAGGGAGCGCCCTCACGGGCTTGCTTATTGACCCCCCGCCACTTCAGTGAGGACAGGGGAGTGCTGGCACACTGTTCACATGGGGACATCTTCCCTCGCCTCCTCCTAACCCTTCCCGAGGCATCACTCCTCTTTTCCTTGTGTGCAAGAGCCTGGCTGGGCTTTTTCCTCCTGGGTTTAAGGAGTCTCCCGCTGCTCTCTGCATATGCTTGCATTCACTCGGGTGCATCTTGGCACGGAGAGCGGTGGCCCCAGATGATCCTTTTCCATTGCCAATGGCAACAGAGCAGTTTTGGAGTGGAGAGGGAATCGCCTCGGCTGTGCAGGGGTCCGGATGCCCCCTTCCTCCCTGTCATCCCATTACTTGTAAGGGAGCAGAGTGGGAGCTGGACAGCCTGGTGGTGTTTGTAGGAAGCCTGGCTCTGGCAGAACTGTAACAGCCTGTTTGCTTCTCAGCTGATGTGTGACTGTGCTGTGGTGGCTGGTGAGCTCGGTATGTCCATCTCTGGCAGAGCAAGGATGGGGAACCCCAAACTCAGAGTCCCGAATGAGATTTGAAGAGGATAGGATTGGCGGTGAGTTCTCCTCTTATGAGGAGAAGGAGGGAAAGACCAATGCATCCCTGCTCGTTCCCTACTGTGGGTGGTCCCTCCTGGAGTTTCATGACCCTCAAGCTCCTGCCTGGGTCTGAAAGGGTCCAAAAAGGTGGCAGGGTCTGAAAACTCCCTGTGCAGGAAGGGTGCCATCCTGCAGCAGTGGCCATGGAGGACCTGCGAGCAGGCGGGGAGGATTTGTGAGCCTGGGCTGCTATGTGTGCGTGCCCAGCTGAGCATCCTGCTTCCTGGGATGGGCTGGGACATCATCCCGCAGGCATCATCCTGGGGTCTTGCCCTGTCCCAGAGGCTAAGGTGGGATCTTCTGTGCCATGGCCAAGGGGGAGTGGCAGGTCCCAGATTTGCCGGTGCATTAGTGAATGAGGCTCTGATCTCCTTACATAAATCAAAGTGCATTTGCTGACCGAGGGCTACAGCCCGAGCGAGCGAGCCCCCTGCCCCCACCTCCTCCTTCCCACCCCCCGCCAGCCGCTGACATTTAATGTGATTAATATTACCTGGCATCTTTCAATCTCTTTTGCCATCTCCGGTGGCCAAAAGCCGTCCCCCGCACCCGCTGCCCACTCCCCTGCTGCCTGCACCACGGCAGATGGGAGCTGGGCACCTGCCGAACAGCCGGGGAGAAGGCGCTTCCCCCCATTCCCCTCCGCAAAGGTCACTGCGAGATAATAGCTGCACATCGAGCATTAGTAATGCTGCAAATGATTAGATCTGGGAGAAGGATGCTCGAGCAGCAGCTCGGAGATGTGGAGGATGGGTAGGGGATGCAGCGCAGCCCAGCACCGGGACAATCACTCAGTACATCCCGGCTGTGGGGAGATGTGGTCTCCTGCCTGGAAGGATGAGGATGGCCCCTGTTGGGTTGATGGGGTGGCTCCCAAACTCTGCCAGATGAGGGTACCAGCTGCATCCTTTGCCAACGGGAACATGAGGTCAGCAATGGTTTAGCCAACCACTTGTGTCCGGTTGTTGGTGCCCTGGCTGCCAGGCTGGAGAGGCTGGAAATAGCTGGAGAAGAGGGATGGAGAGACAAAAACTCAGAAAGGGGGAAAGAACTGAATAAAAGGGGAAAGACAGTACGTGTGCCCGTGGAGGGGAGCATCAGGACGAGATGCTCCAAAGGCAGAGAACCAAAAAAAGCCATAGGGAGAGAAGTTATAGAGGGAAGAAAATAGCAGCGTGGAGAAAAGAAGGAGGAAGGGAGGGAGAAAAAAAGCGCTCCGTCATTACTGAGTAATGTAGGGCAGGCTACTGGGGGCTAGCGAGCGCGACAGAAGCTCCCAGCCTTTTCCTTTTTCGTCATTAACAGATGGAGCCGTGCAGGAAAGCAGAGACGTAGGCTCCAAACCCGCAGCTCGAGCAGTCAAAGCGTGCGGCAGACGGGAGCGTGCCAGCCCCCGCCGCAGCCAGGCGGCCCGAAGGGATGAGAGATGTTCTTGGAGCCTGCGGGATGGGGACATAGAGGCAAAGGCGAACCTCGTCCCTACCAACACCACCGGCTCTGCTTGGTTACGAGCACAGACAGCTCTGGGTGGGAATTATGTCTGTTGGGAGGGTGAGAATTCACCTTTCCACTCACCTTTCCATCCCTCCCGACATCCCTCCCCTGCCTTTCAGCCCGCTGCAACAGTGGGTATCCAAGAACACCTGCGTCCCGCTATCCCCGGCCCCCCCACCCCAGAAAAGGGCTAAAGCCCCTTCCCTATCAGCTAATCCCTCCCTGTCTTGCAGAGACTGAAAGTAGGAAGCCCTTTGCTGGGTGTTTTCCCCTCCCATTTGCGAGAGCATCCCCAGTGCTACCGGAGCAAGCCCGCATGAGGACTAGCGTTTGGTCAGGGCTGGCCGATGTCCCCTGCACAACCTCTCTTTCATTGCTGGGCTTTGGTTCTCCACATTGGTTTTCCTCACAAAACCTGTGGGTTTGCCCTGGCTGGAGGCTCTTCCAGCCCCAGGGCATCGCAGCCTCCTTCTTATTTGTGTATCGTTGCCTGGTCCGTGGCTGTTTGTGCTCACATCAACACCATCTCCTCACTTCCTCTCTCCCTGCTACCTTCTCCCTGCTGTTTCCATCTTGAAGGTTGCCCAGCCAAACCCGGCTTTCCTCTGCCCTTCCCCTCCCCTCTGTTGTTCATGATGGATAGCGAAAACTGGGGTGACGTTGGCAGGCATCCCCCCATTCATCTTTGTGTGCATGGTCACCAAGTCCTGTCCATCCTGGTAAAGCAGGATATAGGGAAGAAGAAGCTGGAAGCCGCAACCACTGATGAGCTGTTGACCTCCTCCAGGAGAGCTCTGGAGCCATTGGGGTCTGTCCACATCAGCAGAGATGGTATCACCCCATGTCCTAACAGCCATGCTGAAGCAGCTATTCAGACCCCTCTTGGTGCTGGAGTGGTTTTGGTAATGGAGTTACACTTAAGGAGAGATCTGACAGCATGGAAAAGATGGTCACCATCTTTCCAAGCCCGTGGCAAAGAGACTAACACCCAGAGGACATGGGGAAGGGAGAAGGCTCCTATTTACAGAGAAAACCCAAAGGGCCATCTTCTCCCTTCCAGGCTGGTTTTCTTCCAGCTGGACAAGGTCTCCTGGTGGGGTGGGATCTGGGATCTTTGCAGGGTGCAGCAGCAGCTGGGAGCATCTTTGCCAGAGGAATGGGTTTGGATCAGCCAAGGGAAGAGATTTGGTCTGGGTTTTAACTTGGGGACAAGATGCTCTTGATGCCCCCAGGTCACGTCTCGAGGACTAGAGACATGATAGCCTGACACTGGCTCCACTTCTCTGTGGCATCCCAATGGCCTGGGAGCGACTGGCTTGTAGAGAGCTACCTGCCCGACACGGCACGGCTGAGCTGGGATAAAAGGATTACAGTCCCGTTATGTGAGGTTAACACACTGGCCTTGATGCAGCAGCCTCACGAGCAGCAGAAGAGAGGTCTGAGCTCTTCCCTGCATTCTTCCCTGCTCATGGGAGGCTGCCTGCAGGAGCAGAGCCAAGGGATGACCCAAGTGCCCACGTAGCCCATCCTTATTCTGTCTCTGAAGTCATTACAGCCTGGCAGAAAGTCATTAAGAGCAGCCAAACTTCATTTTGCAGTAATTAACTTAAATGGGGGCTCTGAGAGGGGAGGTGCAAGATCAGCTGGAGAAGACCCTGGTATAGATGTGGGGTTGTGGTCCCAGTGCTCCCTGCAGTGACGCAGGCTGGGCACATCCTTATTTAACCCCTTCCAGTGACACCATTCTGAGTTTTCTCTCTTCTTCCTCCTTTCCTCCTGGTCGTGGTGGCTGCCAAGTGCAGCAGGAGCTGCCAGCCCGCACCAACGGCTCAGCACCCACTGCCCCGGCGCTCGCCCGCGATGCCCTCCACACCAAGATGGAGCAGCTGGAGGAGCAGCTCCTCTCCAAGATCCTGACCCTGCAGAAGGAGCGCCAGGCTGCCAACACAGACCGCAACCAGCACCAGCACAACATTGAGAAGGAGCTGAGCTCCCTCCAGAACAGGGTGACGGAGCTGGAGCATGGTGAGTCCTGCCTGGCAGGGATGCAGGTAGTGAAGGGAGGTCCCCACCCCAGTGTGCATCTCCACAACAGCCCCAGGATGGGGCCACCCTCATCCCAGCGATGAGTGCTGCTGACCCTCCTCTCTCCCTCCTCCCCATCCTTGAAACACAGGACCACAGGGCTACAGTCCTCCTGATGCCTTCAAGGTGACCATCCCAGTGCAGAACAACTACATGTACGCCCGCATGAATAAGAGCCTGCCGGAGCTCTATGCCTTCACCATCTGCATGTGGCTGAAGTCCAAAGCCCTGGGGGGGCTTGGTACCCCTTTCTCCTACTCAGTCCCAAGCCAGCCCAATGAGATTGTGCTGCTGGAGTGGGGCAGCAACCCCCTGGAGCTGCTCATCAATGACAAGGTCAGCCCAGCCACAGGAGGGGTGGGAGGAAAGCCCCTGCCCTCATTTCCCCTAGTTCAGCCCCCCTGGGAAGTGATGCTCCTGGGGGTACTGGTGTGGGGGAGCTGGGGAGGAAGGGGCCAGGAATGGAGGGGGAGGCAGAACAATGAGGAGGATGGCTCACTGGGGTGTGTTCTGAGAGGGAGAAGCAGTACATTGGGGTGCCTGTAGAATTTGGGGTGCTATCACCGTGGGGGTGCACCACCTGCTCTGCGTGGACACCAGGGTCCCCCGGCAGTCCCACTGAGCACTGAGCTCCTGCTCTTCTCTCAAAGGTTGCCCAGCTGCCCCTGAGCCTGAAGGACAAGGCCTGGCATCACATCTGTGTGGCATGGACCACCCGGGACGGCAAGTGGTCAGCATACCAGGACGGCGAGCAGCGGGGCGCTGGTGAGAACCTGGCCTCCTGGCATGCCATTAAGCCTCAGGGCGTCATCATCCTGGGCCAGGAGCAGGTATGTGCCACCCCAACACCGAGATCTGCCGGTTCACGTTGCTTTGGTGTGAAGCTGGCCAGGGGGCAGCCCCCAAATGGGGAGAGGGCAGGGGTTGGCATGGGCAGGAGCACTGCGGATGGCACGTTGGCAGCTTGGGCAAGGAGCTCTCCTGCCTGCTCAGCTGACCTCTGAGCTACCTGCATGAGCACACCGTCTTCTCTCTTCCCTCTGTCCTCCATTTGCTCCTCACCTTGTCTTCTTCCATCTCCTTCGTGCATCCATCCGCTTCCCTCATTGCCATTGGGCATCTCTGTTTCTCCCCAAACTTCTCCCTCTCCCCTTTGCACTGTTTGCCCATTGGATGCGTTTCCCTTCTCCTGTCCCACCACCTCTCCTGCTCTTTCCCAGGACACGCTGGGCGGACGCTTCGATGCCACGCAGGCCTTCGTGGGGGAGCTGGCGCAGTTCAGCGTGTGGGACCACATGCTGGCACCGGCGGAGATCCTGGCCTTGGCCAACTGCACCTCCCGCCTCCAGGGCAACGTGATCCAGTGGGATGACCAGGCAGTGGAGGTCTTCGGGGGTGCCAGCAAGGGCAGCTTTGCTGCCTGTGAGGAAGGGAGGAAGGCATGAGCGGTCCCTCGCCCCCTCCCCAGTGCCAAGGAGCCCTCTGGCAGCCCCAGTGCAGGGAGCCCCTTTCTCCCCTCCCAGACCACCAAGCCCCTCGTGCTGGCATCCTGGGAGGGAGAGGGGCTCCTGGCGGCCTCCCTCTTGACCCCACACTGATGGTGTGGCTTGTCTGCCCTCCTAGCACGCCTGCCTCTGGGTCTCACCTCGCCCCGCTTCTGTTTTGGGAGGACCTCGCCATACCCACAGGTATCTCTGGTATGGTGAGGGTCCCTGCCTTGTCAGCCCCCCCAGAAGGGAGGAGGAAGGAGACTTCCATCCATCCAGAGCATGGTCCGGCCTCGGCGGGGTGCCAAGCGTGCGGGCACCCCACAGAGCACATCCCCTTTCCTTATTTATTGATAGTGCCGCACTCTCTTTGTTACTGTGAGCCTGTACTCTGAATGAGCCCAAAGGCTTGGCTGCGAGGATCTTCCCCTCCGGCCCCATCCCTCTTCTCCTGCTGCCCTGGTTTGTCAAGCGTGGCCCTGGGGAGGATGAGGGAGGATTGGCAGGGCAACGCTCCCCCCAGTGCACGAGGAGTACTCCTGCCTCTGCTTGCCTGTTCAGGCAGGGTTGTCTGAGGGGCATCAGGCTTTTGAGGCAGGAAGAAGCAGAATGGCCAACCCCTTCAAGATGGGGGATCAGTTGGTCACCAAGGGATTGGGGGAAAGGGGCAAAGCATCTTCCCCAGCCCTGGCCAAGGGGGAAGGAGTGCAGCAACTGCCATTGAAGGGAGCAGAAGCAAGAAGAAAAGGAGATGGAGGGTGGTGGCGGCTGGGGGAACCCTGCCGTCTGTCCCCCGGCCTTTTGGGCACTGGACTGGGTTTCTGCCCTTGCCTTCTTGGTCCCCTGCTTTGAGCTGCTCCTGGCCAGGGACAGGGCTGCCACCAGCCTTGGGACAAGGAGGGTGATGGGGCAGGCTGGTATTTTCCCTGTGGAGTGCCTGAGAATATGCTGTTTCCATGCTGTGCAGTGACCAACGTGTAGATGTGTGAGTGCGTGTGAGTGTCTGGGGAGGGTGGGAGGGTTACTTCAGGGGTCTCATGGTTGCTCAGTGCTGTGCCCAGCTTCCACTGCTTCCCATTACCCCAAGCCCCATTTGCGCTTTCGGTGACAGCCTCCCCTGTGCCCGGCAGAGGTGAAGCAGGGAGAGGGGACAGCCCAGCCGCCCAGCATTGCCTCCCATAGCGTCCCCACCACCAGGGGGGTGACTCAGCCTGCGGGGATGGGGCACAGCCCTCGTGCCAAGTGGGAAACACTGTGATCTTCAGTGGGCTGCCCCCTCTTCCTCGCCTGCTTGTGCGCTTTCTCATGCACGCTTGTGACGGGCCCCTGATGCGCGCCGGTGGTGGGATGTTTCTTTTGTAAGGCTGACCGTGAACAATAAACGTGGTGTTTTCTGTCGGAGCCTCCTGAGGGATGCGAGGTCGCTGTGGGGATGGAGGGGACCGGGCGGCCCAAGCCGAGGTGTTGTTCCCTGGGATGCTTAGGGTGGCATCCCTCAAGGGAGACGGCCAGACCAGCAGCTGTGTGGCTGCTGTTACAGAGACACCATCACAAGGGTCTGGGTATTGCTGCCCAGAGTAGGGGTGTCACTGTTTGGGCAGCTCTCATCTACCCTGTTGTGGAGCAGCATGGGTACAGGCTGCTGCTGGGGAGGTGGGGGAAGCACCTCTCCACCGAGGAGGAACCCCCATCCCAAAAACAGGAGAGCAAAATCCATCTAACAGGTCAGTCTGGGATGGCAAGGAACTTGCGACAGGTATAAACCTAATCAAGCACTAATGAGTTCCTGACCTAGCTAGGCACAGCTCTTGAAGCCACCTATCCTACAGTAACCTGCGGCCAGCTCTGCACGATGCTTTTGCCCCTCAGGGGGTCCCGTCCCTCCTTCAAAGGCACAACCTCACTAATATTTAGGGAACGTAATGCCAGAGGACAGTTTTCCCCAAGGCTCCCACTTCTCCTTCTGGAGGGTATTTAATGCACTAAAACAAAGCCTGGAGCTCTTGCCTTCAGCCCTTCAGCACATCTCGAATTTGAGAGTTTTTTGGAAGGAAAAAGATAACTCTGAGTCCGCACTCCAGCTGAAATACACGCTCAAGGGCTTTGCTGAGCTGGAAGCTCAACCCCATCACTAACAGAAGTGGGTTCAAGAGGCGACCCCTTCTCTCATGCACCCAAGTAACAGGAACATAATTAGAAGGACAGCATTTTTTAGGGATGGAAACTCCCAAAGCCATTGCCTGGGTCACAAACTTAAGAGGAGGTGAAATGGGGAGGGGGGACTGGTCCAGAAGATTCTCCTATGAAAACTGCAGGAGCCCTGCAAGGGGACTTGTGGGGCTGCCAGCCAAGGCAGGAGACATGCGGGAGGATGAACAAGGATGGAAACAGCCTGTCCACTCCTGCGGGCTACTGGCATAAACCCCATCTGCTCCGGCACCCGGAAACCCAGCCCACGCCGGGATCTGTGCAAGCCTCCATCAGACAAGCAGAAACAAAGGCAATGCCAGGAGACGCTCGGGCAGGGACTTGGGTGCTGCCCTCCGCCTCCTCACCGGAAGGTGCCGGAGCGATCCCAACCCCAGCAGCATTCCCAGGACATGTGGATCTGTCACTTCTGGGGAGGGAGTAAGCCCGTTGTCACAGCTTCCGTAGGGCGACCTCCTGGCCCCCTAGAGGTCCACAGCCAGTTGGGCAGACCAGGGGACACACAGGAAAAGTTGATCTAATTCATCCAGGCATTTTAAGAGCTTACAGCAAATGCCTCTGTATAAGGCTCATCAGGAACCGAAGGCACTATGGAGAGATTAGAAACTGGCTGGGAGCAGAAAATTAGGAATAAATATTTGATTTCCATCCTTCTCTGCAGGAAGCAGAGGCTGCTTCTCACCCATCTGGGGAAGAAGAGAGCAAGGCAGAACCATTTATTTTCAGTAAGCCAAGCCTTGCAAGAGCTGCAAACCTGCAACAGGGCTTAAAAGGTGGAGGAAACAACAACTTAATGGCATTGCTGGCTGGCTGGAAGGAGTAATTACAATGACTTCCACATATTGCTTGCTTCTAAATTAACCAGGAGCACTCAGGAGAAGCCCTGTGTCTCTCTAAGGACAGCAGTTGGAAAACAACATTATCGTGTGCAGCGACACGACGGAGTCACCTTTGGTGGGGGGAAATGAAGGACATTTTTATCAATGCCATGGAGAAGGTCCTGTGGTTGGGGACGATGCACTCAGCTGGGACACTGCATTGTGTCTGGGTACCTAAGACAGGGGGAAAGAGACAGAGGAAACCCACAAGATGGGCAGAGCAGAGCCAAGGGCACTGTCAGGCTGTGGTGGCTCAGTGAGGGCTGGCCCAGGAGTTGGTGGTGGGGCAGACAGGCGGATGCAATAGATACCACCTGTATGGTCTCCTCTATCTCCCCAGCAAGGGGCTGTTAACACGCTTCAAGGAGAGGAAAGGGACTGCTCTTTTCCTCCCTAATCTGCACGACTTGCTGCTGCAGGGCTTTCTGCAAGCCAAGGGCTTAACCAGACTCAACACCCCCGGCCCTGAAAGGGCTTTGTGCTGCAGCAAAGAAGACCAGGTCTAACATAGCAACAGGAAACCTTCAGGCCTGGTGGCTGATAATTACCAGGTTTGAAAAAGGAAACGCAATTCCTGAACCCCTCCAGCCCCTGCCCAGCTCTCCAGAGGGCACCATCAGCCGTGCAGGCTCTGCCTGCCCAGGGACATGGATAGCACTGGGATCCCTGCCTTGCGGTGGGCTTTTGGGAGCTCCTGTGCTCTCTAATGTGCAGCCTCTGCTCTGGGCTTGCAGGTTGTGGCTCCCTGTGGCAGGTCCCCTCAAACGAGGTCAAGTCAGCCCATGCTTTGTCCCCAGGAGGTGACAATTCCAAGGTCCCCGTTACCCACACTGACCTAGCGATGGGGGGTGCCTTAATTGCCTCCTTATGCTTCTCCATCCTGGTGGGAGCCTCCTCCACTCCCTCCCGGAGCCAGGAAGGCTCATTAAGACTCGTGTGGTGCTTGCACGAGGAACGCGCCGTGCTTCCAGAGCATCTGGCACAGCAACGGCCCCCACACGGCTGCTAGTGCTGCGGCAGAAGGCCTTACTAGAGGTAGCAGCTGCTACTAGAGGTAGCAGCTATGGAATCACGTGTGGGGCGCTGCTTTCCCAGCAGACCAAGGAATCTGGCTGTTCCAAGGTAGGTTGCTCTCTCCAGAGTAGAGGGCTGGGCTGCTTTTTGTTTCCAGCCATTCCTGCATCCATTCCTGCACATCAGCATCCCCATCTGCCTTCCCTCAGCTCAATGCAACGTGGTGGGGCTCTAATCCCTGTGAAAGGGGGCTTCAGCATCTCCATGGGGCCTCCTGAGTGCTCCTCCTGCCTCCAGAGAGCTGCAACCATCCTGCCCATCCCGGGACAGCTACAAGAGGGACCTCGGTGTGTCCCAAGACCTCACCAGGGATGTCTGGTTATACCCAAGGTGGTGCAGAGCAGTGCTCAGCACCTGGACTGTGGCTGAGAGGCAGGAGAGTGATCCCTACCCCTCTGCGTTATCGCAGAGAGGAGATGGGGCACAGCAAGGCCTGTGTGCCCACAGGGTGATGGGGAGGTTCCAAAACCTGGGCAGAAGAAGCCAAGGAGAGCCTGGGTGCCCTCTGCCTGATGAAGAGTCAGCCTGACATGTGGTCTCCTCCTGCTGTCAATGATGGGGATGGGTAAGAGAAAGCGTGAGACAGTATGTGTTACATATACATGTATTTTGCAGTTGGTGGTCACATTTCTGTTTCTCAGCTGAGGAGTATAAGGCAGACTAATGTCAGGCAGCAAACAGCACTTCTCTGTTCTAAAGCGTTTCACTGTGTCTCCTGAAGGCAAAGGGCTGATGGAGTTTCCATCTGTGATAAGTGGTGAATAAGAAAGGACCAGCCAAAGCAGAGCATCAATTACAGCTCCTTACAGATGCAGAGGGACAAATCAGGCACTTGCTCCGGACTCACCTTCACCTACAGATGGGCACTTGGTGTCTTTGTGTGGAAACTAAAGACAGGGTGACATGAAGCTAGCCATGTATCTGCCTTTTCCACTAGCACCTAAGGGACCAGCACATGTTGCCTGTGTTGGCCCAACAAGGCTTTGACTGCCTTGCAGGGTTTTAGAGAAGCAGACTGCAGAAACCCTGCACTTGGGGGTCCAGAAATGAGCTGCTCAGGTCTTGCTAAGCCATAGAAGATAGAGACGGGCCAGTGGGATGCTCTCCTTCCTCAGGAGGCATCTCTACCTTGCAGTCCTGCTGTATCCCTCACCACCATCACGAAAGACACAGTGTTCCTGTCCTTCAGCCCTCTGCAGCGTTGGGTTTGGCCATTTTCCCTTAGCTTTTCACCTAGGAGCTGCTGATGAATAATCCTTACAACCAGTCCCAGCATTTCCCAAGGGAAGCACTCCCTGGGGATGCATTGATCAAAACCAAAGCACATTTAATTGAACCCAGAATCACATACACATGCAAGCTCCCCCTCCCCACACACACACAGACATACGCACACACTGGCTCACACTGACTCGCTGCTTAGGAGCAAAAGTGGGTGAACTACACAGGGATTAAAGCATTAAAAAAGCCACAGCAAGAACGCGATGCTTGAAAGCGCTGTGTCCCCGGAGAGATTAGAGTAGCTGCCCTGGAGATAAAGTAACGATGATGGAAAGATCTTCTCCCTCATAGAGATTCTATTCCTAATTATCTCCTCTGCAAAAAAAAGAGAAAAGATCTCCCAGCTTTTATCTGTCTCTTGATAATTTCAGCTCTGCGCCTGCCTTGTTGCAAGAGGTCGATGCTTGCTGAAAAGAAGGAGAAGGAATGGGTGCAGGAGGTAGGAGCGGTAAGAGAACAGGGGGGACAGGAGGCAGTGCTTCATTTCTGTCACCACCAGCGGCGAAGGCAAAGGGGAAGATGAATGATCACTGCAGTGTTGTCTTTCTGAGCCCAAAGGCAGCCTTGCTGCCTCCACCACTTGCTTTGTCAGGCAAACGACAACCAGGAAGTCTGATCCACTGCTACTCTAGTAGAAGAGACAAGATGCCCTCCCTATGGTTGTAGGGCAGTGCTTGGAGGTGAGGAAAGAGGAGTTATTCATGAGCTGGCAGGGGCAGGAGTGTGCCCAGTCTGTTCCTCCCCCAGTCTTTTCCTTCTCACACAGCTCAGAAGCCATTACTGGTTCAGGAGCCAGCCAGCACTGAGGATGTTTCAAACATACACCAGCCAGAAGACTGCACAAAACATCAGCCCGTGGCAGGGGGTTGGAACTGGTTGAGTTTTATGCTTCCAACCCAAACCACTCTGTGATTTTATGGTCAAGCCACCCCACAGGACAAAGATGGACCCCATTAAAGA